TCCTGTGTGATCACTTTGTACTTCCTGTATGCCCTTTCACTTCCTGCCTGTCCCTTATGGACTTCCTGTCTGAACACTGTGGACTTCCTGTCTAACCCCTCATTTCCTGTCTGACTCTATGGACTTCCTGTGCGATAACTGTGTACTTCCTGTCTGCTCTTTCACTTCCTGTCTGTCCGCTATGGATTTCCTGCCTAGATACTGTGTACTTCCTATCTGCCCTTTCACTTCCTGTCTTTTATGGTCTTGTCATCTAAACACTGTGGATTTCCTGTCTGCCCTTTCACTTCCTATCTATCCCTTATGTGCTTCCCATCTGAACATTGTGGACTTTCTGTCTGCCTTTCATTTTCTGTTCATTCCTGTGGGCTTCCTATATGATCACTGAAGACTTCCTGTCTGCCCTTTCACTTCCTGTCTGACCCTACTGGTTTCTTGTGTGATCACTGTGGACTTCCTGTCTGTCTCCCGTGGCTGCTGTTCATGTGTAATGGTGCTCTGGTGTTTTCTTTTGAATTTTTCAGTTTTAAAATGCCTACTTAAATCTGCATTCTATTTTTTTTGTTAGTTTTTTAGATTTTTTTCTGTAGGGAACATACACTCACTGGGGGAGGAGAGACAGAGAGAGGAAGAGAGAGGAAGAGTAATCACCCCCCTGAGGGCAGGGCTGGCCATGCTGCAACCCCTTCTACTCCATTGTCCTCCATTCTCCTCTTAGGACATTGGGTATGCACATGCACCTGGTGTGATTTTCAGGCCACTGGGTCTTGGACTCAAATTCCAGAGTCAGCCATGTGGGATCCAGTACCTTATCTACTGTGCCAACTGCTGGTTCAATACTACATTCTATTATTTTCCTCTTTTTAAATAATTTGTATGATTTCTGGCTGTTGATTATACTCCAATTGATATAGTTAATGCTAAATACTAAGTAGAAATATTAAATAAGGATAAGAAGTGTATGTGTGTGATATAAAAAACATGTCAACAAATGTTGTAGAAGTAAAGTCATAATAAAGAGAGGTCCTTGCACTACATATGGGAAAATTAATCTCAGAAAGGACTCAGTGCTGAGGAATATAGTGTTGAAGTTGAAAACAAATGAGAAAGTCATTATATCTTAGAGAATGTTGAAGGTCAGTGCATTGGAAACTCACATACATGAACTTGCAGGTCCACCTGCAGCCCCTCCCTGCCCTAGCTCAGTGTGACAGCAGTTCCGTGCCAGGCATGTGCAGTCAGGAAACTGCATTGTCTCAAATGTTTACACCATTTTCTCTAATCAAATTATATGAAATAGTAAACTCTTAGCAGGTCATTACAGTTACATAGGATGAGTAAGTCTGGAGATCTAATGTACAACACTTGGACTGTAGTTAATAACATTGTATTATATACTAAAATTTGCTAAATGAATAGATTTTAGGTGTTTTAATCACACACACAGACACACACAGAAATAACTATGGAAAGTGATATACAATTATCCCAACACTCTCCACCTCTCACCTCCTCAGGGTTCTCTTAGCACCCTGGATTTGTCTTTGTTTTCTCACTCTGTATTGACATTTTCAATCTTCTGCCTCTTTCACCTGACGGTAAACTCCTTGGGCCTAGGTCTGGCAGACTTCTGTGATACCCAGTTCTGAAAGTCACTCATCCTTCACATTGTTACTGTGAAGTAAGATCTAACATAGAGTGCTTGTTTTAGTTTTGCCTTTCTTCTTTATGTACACTTTCTACTGTAAGTGGGACAAAACCTTCAGCTATCTACTTTCATAGTGTTCCTCAAACCAAAGTATCAGAGATCTCTTGCAAAATGTTTCCAATCTCAAAGTCTGAGCATCACAGGTAAAAACTATACATCAGTATAGAAACTGCATAGTCTCACAAGTGTAAACCATTTTCTCTAATCAAATGATACGAAATATACTTTTATCTAAACAGTATATTAAGTTGTTGGAAAAGTCATGATGCATTTTTGCATGGGAAAAAAACAGAAAAATAAGTCATGAATTTTCTGACAACCCAATAAATGTATTTAATTGCCAGGGGACATGTGTATTGGCAAGAGTGAGACAAAGAAAGAGGAGAGAGAGAAGGGAAAATCTCCCCCATCAAGGCATGGTCATGCCACAATCCCCTCTCCTCCATTTCTTCATCCTTGAGATTTGAGGCATGCACTTACAACAGCTGTGCCTTTCAAGCTGTTGAGGCTGCGATTCGAGCTGCACATTCAGCCAAGTGGGATCTCACTCCCTTAACTGTGAGGCTATGGAACCAGACTCATACTGTAGATTAAATAGGGAGACTAGAATAGAGAAGATTATCCACTAGAGGAGATCTTGTCTTCAGAGTACTCTCCACTGGGATCTGCAAACAGGGCTAATTCTACCAACTCTAATTCCCATGGAGAGCAGGCCACTCAAGTCCAACTTGAGGCTTTCAGGAAAAGCTTAACTGACCTATGACTTAATTGGGGTCTGGAAGAGCCAAGAACAACAATGACAGGAAAAGGAGCCATCAACCAACATAGAAGACACTATTTTTCTTCATCTGTTAACAGATTGGAGAGATAGGAGCACCAGGCTAGGCAGCTGTTGGAAGATCCCCTTTGATATTTGTATTATCCAGCTAAAGACAGGAAACTTGTTCATCCTTCTTTTTTCTTCTTTCAAATGCCTTTTGTTTATTCTAGCTTATGGCAAATCTAACCCTCACACTCATAAGTATAGTAAGTGTAGTTGAGGTCACGTTTGTAAAGACCATCTACAGACTGAGTATCAGTGATTCTAGAACTTCTGTATTTACAAGATGAATAGTGAAGGCATTGCATTTCTCTTCTAGTGAATGCCACAATCAGACTCCAGTGCTTGTTATCCAGAGAAGCCTTTCTTTTCTGTACTATTTCACTTTTATATCTGTCATGTAACCGTTCACTTACAACTTGTGCTGTTAACTCCCACTAAGTCAAAGACAGAAATCTCAAGCTGCTGTGAGCCAGCTGCATTCATGGGGTAGACTCTAAGGCCTGGATTAGTCATCACAGGACAGCTCTGGCTCTGGAGACAAGGCACATCCCTGCTTGGCTCATGGGGGCTCCCTTACCCAGGCTCCATCAACAAACCCAAGGTTGCCAAACTCTGACAGGCATGACACATACCTCCCTACCACACAGACGGCTTCCACTTCCGGTATTCGTCTTTGTGGAAGACAGCCGAGAGAGCGAGCTTTGTTTTGTACCTTATGTGAAGCGTGCTAGTCTGTTAAAGAAGGAAGACCTCCCTTTCCTGAGAGAGTGTGGAAGTAACCAGCCATACTGTCTTCCTGCTTTACAAGAGTGAGAAATAACCACTGTCCCTGGCAACTCCTTGCTGTACCCATTCTCTAAACAAAATAAATGAAAGTAGAAGTTTGATCAACTCACATCAAATTTCCCTGAAAAACTATATGCTGTTCTTAAAAAAAAAAATTGTACAGACTTTAGCATTTGCATGTACTTAGTATTCTAAGGACTTGGTTATGTATTTCCCTTTAACAGAAAATATTCTCACATACATTACGTCTTTATGTGATACATGTCTGATTTCCCCTTTTCCAAAGAAGGAAAGAAATTTAAGACAGATTGAAAGTATTTTCACAAGATGCAATAAATGTCCAGGATCCTTTCTGTCAAACCTTTAATTGTCAAGAGCTTGATGTGTTTTGTCCACACACATTTACTCTGTCACCTAAGTCCTATTGTTCTCATCTGCAAATGACTGACTTGTGGTCAAGAATCTAAGTATCTTAAGCAAGCCATGCTATGAAGGAGAGGCATTGTATGTCCCCACTTAATATATACCGAGTGTCCGCACTCTAAAATATATATATATTTGAAACCATACTGCTTCTGTTGTTATAGAGTTATAAAATTATACAAAATTATAAGACATATTTTGAACATTATCTTTAAAATTTAGTATTTTGAAATTTTGAAAGTTGTTTGTAAACTGTCAAGAATTATGGAGTATGAGCTAAAATTTTTTGCTATGTAAAGTAAATGTTTGTGGAAAAATGTAAAAATAAATAGATGAAAGAAAAAAAAAGATTTTTGTACCTAAAAATATGGAAATACTTTCTGAAAAGTAAAAGACATTGAGATTTCAAGAAGTGGATCACCTGAGGGGTACAGGCCGATCCTCAGCTTGCCAGATATTCCTCACCCTGGCTCCTGCCCAGGGGTCTCGTGAAGCCTGTCAGTGATGTGCCGAGTCTAAATCAGGATCCAGCAAAATGGAAAACTGGCCCACATATCCAGGAGTGCCACAAGGCAGCACTGCCTGCCCTGGCCAAAGCCCCTACTCATTAGTGTGCTCTAGGCTGAGCCCCCCCAGGCCGGAAAGCTGAGATCCGAAATGCTCCAGTATCTGACAAGAACTGAAACTGAGCACTGACATGACACCTGAAGTGGAAAATTCCACCTGAACTCACGTGTCGGGTCACAATCAAAATGCTACAGTAGGAAAGATTGTGTAGAACTACCTCTGGGCTGTGCACGTACGTGTGTATGAACATAAATGGGTTTTGTGCTACATTCAGCTCCAACCCCCAAGATATCTCATGAAGCAAATATTCCAGAATCCAGAAACATAAGCAACAGGGCCAATTCTTGGAAGGCTGTCGTTCTATTAGTCAAATGAAAACGTTTCTCCAGTTTCCAGAAAGGGTCACATTCCCGCGCACTAGGCCTCGCCGCAAGTGCTCAGGCAGATTCGAATCCCGGTGCTCCTCCGCGCTTTCTAGGACAAGCCACGGCAGAAAGCAGCGCGCTCTAGAACGAATGGGCCACGTGGCGTGGGAGGACTCAAGAGTACCCTACCAAGTTTCCGCGGCAATTTCCCTGCTGCTGTTATAGATCAAAGAAATCCAACCCGCGGAGACAGGTCCGTGGGCTTGGGCTAAGCCTCCCCTTCCACCCATCGCGGCCTGGTCTGCACCTGCGTGCCTGCGGTACTCACCAAACCCTGACAGGTGGAGAGGGCCACGGAGGAGTTGCGGTGCGCCCGCACGGAGCCTTGGTAGAAGCAGAGGTCCTGGGGCGGGAAGGCCCGCACTGACTTGGTGCCGCGCTTCCCCCACGTCTGCACCAAAAATCCGGGAGCCACGAGGTCGCGGGATGTTTTCAGGTCCATGTGGAAGTCGTGCCTGACGCCCTTCAGCCGAAGATAAAGCGAGTCAGCTCCCGGCGCCGTTGCAGCTCTGCGCCTCCGCTGGTGGTGCAGGACCTCGTGGGATACGTAGTCCCCCCGGTCGTCCACCTCGTAGGCAGTGACCAGGTCATATTCTGAAATCGAGAAGGGAGCGCATGAGTAAGCTCGGGACCCTGAGAAGATCCAGGAAGTCTTGCACTGCTAAGACCGTTTTTCCAGAGGACGTTTCACCCAATTAGAATGGAAGAAGAGGTAGTAACTGTAGCTTCCCAAATTCCAATTGTGGAATTAGTAACAGAGTTAACAGAGAAAATCCCGAAGGGGCCGTTAGTTAAGTCGCTGCGGCCTACAGTGGGTCATTATCCACCCAGCCAGGTCCCACCTTGGAGGAGACGCGTTACTGACTGCAGAGACCAAGCTGGGCTTTGGGGACGATGGTTTGCAGATTTTACAGATACCGTAACTAGCACATGTCATTGTTAAGTGCTAGAACATTCTTTTAGTCGTATTATTTCTGTTTCTTATAAACATCTTATTGAATTAGTTTAAAACTTTTAGCTTAGTAATACCCACAATTTTTCAGAAAACAGTTTCAAAGAAAAATACGGTAGGAATTCTGTGCTGCTTGTTTTTAATGTTTAATTATGAAATGATCAGACGGGCTGAAGAACAGGCAGGAGCACCTGTGTGTCTCCTGGCTGTCAGCATGTGGACAGGCTCACGTGTGCATCTGCTCCCGCTCAGAACCAGGGTGGGGCCTGGATTCTGGCCCGAGGCAGCTCTCACTCCTCCACCTCTTCAACAAGTCCCACCCCCTCTCCCCATGGTAATGTGCACTATGCTTCTCTCCAACTTTTTCAAACAAATCGTCTTTCGAAAACGTAACATTAAGCTGCATGGAGAGCTCAGATTTCGGACACCCACACGGCCTGTCAGGCTGCAGTCCCTGGTGGCTGTGTGTGTTGCATTTGGTGCAGGTTCAAGGTCTTGCCTGCTCCAGGAGCAAGCACAGAGCAGCTCTGCAGCCCTCAGGACCCTGCCCAGTGGCCTCACTGCCTTTCGGTACATACTGCAGTGTCTGCTCCGAAGAGCTTTCCCCATCTAGAAAACTTTCCTAGTTATCAGAGGAGCTGTTCTCCCCTGACCACCATTAAAAGCGCCGTCTCTGCTGTCCAGAGCCCAGGGAAGGGCTGGTTCTGAGTGGAAACCACAGAGCGTGGGCGAGACTGGGGTGTGTCTTGCTGCTCGCCGTGATGTCCACTGGGACCTAGACTTCTAGACCACGTGAAGGTGGCGGTGAAGGCTGGGGTGACAAAACGCCTGTGAGGAAGTCCCAGCCGTAGGTTTTCACACTGCAGCCTGTGGCACGCATGCTTCCTGCTGCGTGTGTGCACGGTGCACTGGGCCTGCGCACGCTCGACGGTCTGCTTCCTCTCGTGGGTGTTTCCTGTCACCAGAAACAACAGTTCACCATGACACCAGGCTCCCCTCCGGCCTTACTGGGAAATGTCTGAAAAGGCGGTCAGGCCCGGCACCAGGTGGGCTGCAGAGACCCCAGCCTCCCGTGAGGTGGACCGTCACCAGAGACCAAACGCCACCGCCTCTTACATGTGCGCTGTGACTTGGACCCTGGTGTTTCTCCCCGGTGTTAGCGGTCGGAGGTGCACGTGCCCCCTGCTGTTTCTGCGGGAGGTGCAGGCCCACCCAGACTGTGGTGCTCGGACCAGTGTCAGGCCGCAGGGGCGCTCAGCACTTCCTGACCCTGTGACATCCATGGGCTGAAATGGCTATGACAGGAGCGTGTCCCCACGGACCCAGCGAGTACTACGACCGAGCCCCACACCTTGCACACTACCCAGAGGGCTGTGGTCAAACACCCCTGGGCCGGCCCGCGACAGGCTGACCTGTCTTGTGTTGTATACATGTTTGAATGTGAATCATTATAAACTTCTCACACACACACACACACACACACACGTGCACATACAACTCATGTCTTTTATGGCCAGTGAAAGGAAGTTCTAAAGAATTCCCAAATATAACTTTGGAATTGAAAAAGGTAACAGATTTATGATATATTTTGGTCTTAACAAGAACAAAAGTTTTAAGTTTAATGATTTACTTCTTCCCTGAGTGAGGGAAAGGGAGAGGAAAAGCACGCCCAGCAGAGTCTAGGTGCTTCAGTGCCCCGGCCGCTGCCAGCCCTGGGTCACGGGCACACGCGTGCCAGCCGCCCACTCCGGGAGCTCTCCTGACCAGACCAGAGCCTCCCACATGGGGGTGCCTCTCAGAGCACCTGCATGTTACTGCCGCGCCACGGTCTGGCCCTACCTGCTAACTTTATTACAATGTGAATTTGCAGGAGAAAGCATTGAAGTCTGCTAAGAGAGAAAGAAACGTGATGCTGAGTCAGCAGAAATGAAATTGCTCTGAAAACAGGATTGACCCCAATTTAGTTTTCCATTATTGCCTCAAAGAATATGCACAGTTCTCTTTACTACCTACGGTTTCTTTAGACACCCAGAAAGTGAGCCATGATAGTATGAACTGGGTGTTACTTTTAACAAAACCTGCGGCCCCAAATTGTTATTTCAAAACCAACTTGTGTAATGGATGCCGAGATGTCTGACAGTGAATGGCCCATGTGGATCTCAGCTGTGACTCCAGGTGACACTGCTAAGCAGGACCCAGCCTCGCTCTGGGGGGCAGGCACGTGGGGTGGGGGCGCAGGGCAGCCCCTCCATGCCCACTCTCTCACTTGAGCCTTTTCTATTAAAGAGCAAAATTACTTGGAGAGCGGGGATGAGGAGTAGAGTGTCCACCAACGCTAGGCCGTCCCAGATGAGGGCCCACGTTTGCTTCAGGGTCTGACCAAGCTCGGTGCGTGGTTGTCATGGGCACACTGTGCTCCTGACACCAGCCGAGGTGCCTGGGGACCGGAGCAGCCTGCTCCGCAGGAATGGCAAGGAAGCCTGAGGTCTCCAGCAGAAAAGCACACTCGGCAGGAAGCGGTGGCTTTTCTTCCTGAACGAGTCTCTGCCATGATGTTCTCATCCCGAGCGAGACTCATAAATGCTGTGGAGTACTCTGGGTATTTCCTGAGTCCCTTTGGCATCTTCATTATTTTATGGAACTAAAATTTGGTATAAAATATTTTTAAAAAGATATGAAGGGGAATAATGAACTTTTAATATGGATAATTATATTTTAAAACATGTCATAACAAAAATGTCGAAGGCAGCAAGCAGGTGAGCATCAAATATGAAGTTGTCTTGTAAACGCCCCGTGAAATGTGTTCTAAACATTATAACGTTTGCCTTCAGCGCCCTCTTGTGGTCCTCAGACCGTCCTACGGTTAAGCATCAATCTGCTATTTACCACTTTATATGCTACTCACATATCCATGCTCCAGGGGAGAACTCCAACAGAGCATGCATATATTATTCTCTTCAAGTTAGTTTGTCAAGAGAAAGCAATTCCCAATTATTAGCTGTTAAATTTTCTGAAAATACTTTGAAATAAACATAGTTTTCCTGACGTCAATACTATTAACATTTGAGATGACAACTTATTGTTGGAAGTGGTGGGAAGTACTATTTGGAAACTACCTCTGCATGGGTTCAGATAAAAGCCACCTCGCAGCCAGTGCCCTGCAGTGACAAGACGTGCAGATGCCATGTGGAATCTGCAAAGCCACCTGTCAGTGTTAGAAGTGGCAGAGGCCCCACTAGCTGTTTCTCACTACTGTCTCCAGAGCGCTCCCACTCTCCAAGAGCATGATTTGGGTCCTAAGGTGATAAGCACTGAGGAAAAACGACCGTGTTCCGTCTCCTGCTTTGAGAGTCAAGGACAGACAGATCATCTAATTTAAAAGACGAGAAGGCGCCGGAGGAGAGTATGAAGAAGGGTAATAAGCTCTTTATAACGGAGTGGCTTCGATTAATATGCCCTCGAGAGTCTGCCTGATTTCTTTAAACTTTGAAAACGAAGCCACCTCCTCGCCTTTCTCCTGCCGTTAAGGTAAAACTCCCGCTGTAACT